GAATTTGCTGGCCCAGAAACAAACTGCTGCCACAAACTTAAAAGCGTATAATTGTCTAAAATGTCTGTATGCTGTATTACTCTTCACTCAGCCCCAGACCATTCCCCCTCTTCCACCAAATTTTACTGCAGTCACCATTCATTCTGGTCGGTAGCTACAGTGTTTATTATCAGTAGGGTGTCCATTGCAGTGGACATGTCCAAGAGGATGGCTTCCAGTGCCAGTTTTGTGCTGAACTCTTTCTACAGCTGAGCAGTGATGTGTGGCCATGAAAACATTGGCAGAAGACCGACAACAGAAGTCTTTGTGTAATGCACCCCCCACTCACATAATCACTCTGCTTTTACACAGTGCAGTCTGCAGGTTATTGGTTTAATTTTACATGTGTTGGTTTGTGGCAGTGGCTGCATCAGTTGTTTGTAATAGTGTAGAAATGTATCATTTTGCATTGATCTGAAAGTTGATTTGCGGAGAATTACTGGAAAATGAACATGCAGCACAAATGGTTAGCATTTTTTTTATATATATATTTTGTTTTTTTCTCATTCTACTTCATTTTCCTCACTTACGTTCTAAATGCCATGCCACGTCTGGGATGCTCCGCCGCTCTGCTCGCTTAGCTTCTGTGTGCAAACACGAGCACCAAAATGAAAAACAAGGCATTCCACGTTGCTCTTGCAATGCAGTTAGTATGTGTGAAACAGGCCTTAGAAGTGAAATGACACACGTGACAAATATTGTGTGCGAGGATCTTATCATCAGTAATAAAAATAATCTGTTTTTGGGGGAGTCCAATCCCACCCACTAGCTAGATCTCTCCCCATCACACAGTGCTACTAAGCTGGAAGGGTTAAGACTAGGGCATGTTTCACCAAACCATGTGACACACTCTGTTCCAGAGAAACTTCTAGAGTTCTAGGTTTGGAAGAAGCGTCTAAAAGCTCCCTCACTGAAAGTTATTACATGAAATATGAATATGTTGCCTGATAACTGAGGCATTGTTTACAGAAATTTGTTTACATTCAAACAAATGCATTTGTTTAAAGCCACTCATGACAGAGAGACAATACATGCATTGCATTATAATTCTAATTATATTCAGTAATGTTAGTGCTCATTATTTGGCCAAAATAAAGTTAAAAGTAAAAAAAAAAAAAAATAAAAATAATAATAATAATAATTTGAATTGTGCTGAAATAATCGAATGAAAGCAAATCCTGGTGAAATTTGAGTTTTCATAATTAGGCCTTTCACAATCACCGATTGTGAAATAGGTGATGAAATAGGTGAGATTATTTGAGATTATAGTAATTATTTAAACTGACCAGTTATTTCCACAGTTGTTAGTCGTTTCACTATCAGCATGTAAAATGGATGTGTTTTCATCAGTTGGCTTTTCCTGGTCTACGTTATGGATATCCCAAAAATAAAAAAGAAAATCTATCTATTCACTGAGTGCTAAGGCATGTGTAGGGGGTTGTTTATGAGTGTTTATTTAAAGGCAGCCAATGAATTTACAGTAATCTTAGCTTATATCCTAGCAGAATCAGTTTTGTCTTTGAGAGAAATGCGAGATTCGGCTCTACATGTGATTCTGTGGAACTGTAGACACTTGCAAACAGTGCAGTATTTAATTTCATGTCAGCACAACTTAGTGTGAGCTATAAAATAAAAAGGAAATTACAAGGAAGCTAATCGGCCAGTTTAGCTGTTTAGGCTTATTCTTTAACGGGGGCATAAAATGAAAAAGGAAATAAAAAGGAAAAGACAATTAAATTGTTCACCACAATTTTTACATATCAAATATATGTATATGTCAGCTAATGTGTCTTGATTGTGACAGGCTTATTCTTAATGCATTGAATTGTTTCCTGAGCATCATAATCAAAATGACATTAATCGTGAGGTCCTGCTTGTTTTCCGTTCATGTGAAGGTGTGTACTGTACATCAGTGAAAATCTGTTTGATTTTCTTCTTTTACACCTTAGTGGTTCCCATTTTCCCATTTCTGGTTCTAGAATAGACAGGCATTTTAGTGCTTCCCTGTGCTCTAACCTCATTCAACTCTCTGGCTAATTATCAAACTGTCTCTGAGCTGAATTAAGTGTGTTAGAACAGGAGAAACTGCATTGCCAGTTTACTTCAGGACCAGGAATAGGAAACGCTGTCATTGCCTTTTGACAAATAGTCTTTTGTTTTACAGGTCTGAGGCACCAAATTCAATCAATTACATCTAAACAGATCTTTTCTGTTCCAAATTGAGCCATGTTCATATACTAAACATGGTAAATTTCAGCAAATAACGTCACGGCTGAGCCCTCAAATCCAATCAGGTGAAGAAGCGAAACAAATCAAATTTAAGCACTTCCCTCCTGCTGTCCAAATCTAGATGTTCTCGTTGGAGTTTTATTTTAAACTCGACCAATTTGAGCTGACAGGCCTCAAAAGCTTCTATCCAGACTTCATGCATGTCCTTGTTGGAATGTAGCTGGTGCACAATAAAAGGGTAGCCAGCTCTGGAATGGGCCATTTTCACTCACGCTGTAGAATGATTGATGTGTGCGGTGGGGTTTTTTCCATGGTGTCACATTTCCATCCTTGGAAAGCTGTCAGACAGGGCCGTCAGTGCAGAGCAGTGCTGATGGTGTCTGATAGAGCGGGTTATCTCCGCGTGGGCCGCGCACCTCAGGAGGTCACATCACACATCCGCCTCAGCCACAAACAGGGATGGATGACAGTGTCCAAATACACTTATCTGCACAGCTATCTTTCAGCTTATTGTGATATGCAGTGATCACAAAGTCTGCGGCCTGCTTGGCCCTATCAGATGCTGCCGTCGGTTTTACCTGCTCTCGCTGTGCATGTTCAAGCAAATAATGGGTTTTCTCTCAGGTGTGAATGTGTTGTCTCCAGTGCAGGGCTTTTATAGATTCTCAATGCATGGAGCAGGTATGGCAAACTGTCGTCACGAAGGACCTTAACTGAATAGTTTGGCAAGTGAATAGTTTCTTTAGTTTCAGCTAATAGAAGCTTATACCTATATACCTATATACCTATTAGCATTGTGCAAACTGCATGCCTAAATAATCAGACACTTCATCAAATCCACATTAGATCTTAAATTGTCTCGGACAGACTTGCTTATTGCTGTTATTGGAACAAAACCTTGTATCTCCAAAATGGTAACTTTACAGGAAAAAGAAAAAACTACTTTACTTTTAATGTGAGTCAGTGGAACCAGATTTTTTTCTAAGTCATTTTAGGCTGTTTCTTTTGGTCCATTCCATGACATGCTGTTATCTATAAACATAGACACATATAGATATATATACAGTGTCACATATATTCCACATGTGAAATGTGCAAGAAAACACATTGTATTCACATGTAAATTCATGTGACTTGACTTTAAGGCTGAAACCACATCAACAAGTCTGTGATTATCTAACCAGTTTATGCTGTTAGATGCAAAGATGTGGACTCAAGTCAGCGTCTCAGACTAAAGTCGCACTTGTGTGGCAGGTTGACTGACTCACAGTGTGACTCGATCTCATCCTCAACTAGCTTGACAGTGAAGACTCAAGACTTGTGAAATTTCAGCCTGAGAAAAGCATGCAAACAAAATTAGGACTGCCGAACTTAACGCGGTAGATGGATGGATGGATGGATGGATGGATAGATGGATGGATGGATAGATAGATAGATAGCTAGATAGATAGATAGATAGATAGATAGATAGATAGATAGATAGGGAAACATGCTCAGTCATCACTGCAGTGCTGTCTTCCTGCAGTTCGCAGCAGCACAAGGTTCAGTACCGCTTCAAATAATGAGCCTTCCGTTATTGAAAAACCTGCTAAAAGCACTACATGCAGTAAATGCTATGTTGAAATGAACAACACAGAGCAACTAAAAATGGTTGGGTAGCATGAAGCAACTATGCTAACTAGTGGAGTAGCTGATTTAGTTGAAGTTACAGATCACATTCCTTTAAATCTCACTAAGACTTCAGCTGGATTAGCTATTACACTAACTAGCTAGTATACTTGGCTAGAAACCATAGACTAACCAGTCATTTCAAGTTGTTTGGCCTCTGTCCTTGCAAGATTTATTGATCAAAATTCGAACAAGAAATTCAGAGGGATGTAGATTTTATAACCAATTTCACAGCTTCACAAATGTAATATCTTCCGATACTGGTGGTCGTCCAGATCCCTTTGTCCTGCACAGACAGCCTTCCTCATTGAATTTTTTGTGCCGTGTCCAAATCTGCTTTCCAGTTAGTGCATTTTTATTGAATTTTCTCAAAATTGCATGCTCCACACTCTTGTTTGACTGTGTTTGAGCATTTTCTAACATGAAAAATTAAACTTAGTTTTTACACATTTTGTTAAAATTTGAGATCATTTGAGGGAGAATTGGCTACGTTATTAGACTGTGAAATTATGTCAATTTTTGCGGGACACCCTGTAATTTGAAGCTGTGTCAAACCTGTTAGGTTTTTAGGAATTACTTTTGTAAAATGCAATGCCTACAGTTCATAACAAGGCTAATCTAAAATTCTCTACTAAAGACTTAAGACTCTACTTTTATTTTCATGAACATTTAGTTTGAGGCGAGTGTGTGATGATTTGAGCAACCACTATGCTGACTGGTGGGGTTTTAAACTTCCAGTATTAGAAAGTTTTAGCTTTAACTTTGGTACAAAATAAAAGAAACAACAAATTTGAGAAACATAATATACAAAAAGAAACAACTGCATTTGACTAGATTAGGAAGTATAGTACTAAATGATATTAGGAAGAACTACTCCTTTTATATTGCAAATTTGTTGGGTCCAGTCAAGGTAGTCAAATCAGGAAAAACTCTGGACATTGTTGTGTAGTGGTCATCCAGGACCAGAGACCAACACTTCTTGTATTGAATTTTCTGGCAGTTTATTCATAGCTTTTGAATGGGAGGTGTTTTATCACAGCTCTCTCTTCATTCTTCTCTTTCAGCCCTGTTCCGACTATCACCTGGAGGAAGATCAACGGAAACATCCCCAAAAAGGCCCGCCTGCGCAAATCTCAGGCTGTGTTGGAGATACCCAACATTCAGCTGGAGGATTCAGGGAGCTATGAGTGCAAGGCAGAGAATTCACGAGGAGGCACGGCCTTCCGGGGACACCTCCAGGTGTACAGTAAGCACTGAGTCTCCTGAGAGAGAGAGAGCGAGAGAGAGAGAGAGAGAGAGAAACACCTGGTCATTTGCCTAGAGGTGGCTAGAATGGCCTAAGCTCATGCTTCTTCAGTGAAATAATGACTCAACTTGAATAAGTGTAACAAGATATTGGGGGAAAAAAAAACTCAAGTTGCTGATTTTCTATAGAACTGGTGAGGAAGTACAGCTGACATCCATCAGCATAGGAACTAAAGCTTGTCAGGTGCTATTGTTCTCTTTTTCAAATGCTTTTGAAATGAAATGAAAATGCTAAAGCTTTAAAGTAAGAGGTTGGATCCATGGCAAAGCAGCATCATAGAGTAGAATGAAATCAAACACAAAAGAAAAATGAGTAACTTGTGAATGGCTACAAGTGGAACTGAGTGAACAGAAAGTAAACAGAAAAATTGTCTGAAAGTTAATTTAAAGTCATTGTTAAGTCATCAAATAGCTAAGCTAACACTAGCTTCTAGTGCAAATTGGATTATATATGTGAGCAATGGCTGTTTCACTAATGGCTCCATACACAAAAACATAGATTCGCTCCCTTAGATCTGAGTCTTTACCCTGTAAATTTACACCACTGGAGCTTCAGTGAGTGTAAATTTACAGGGAGCTTCAGTGAATCACTGGGCTGTGGTGTGAGAAGCTACAGCATGCTAATCTACTGCTACCTACCACTAGAACAGTTCTACACCGTATTTGACAATTATTGGATAGTTGTGGAACATAAATGTGACATCATGAATTTAAGTACCACCCTCGTTTGTCTATTTTAGCTGCTGTCTGCACATCTGAAACAAGTTAGCAACATTAGTGCAGGCATGTTCCTGTCACCCTTGTCGTAATCCTCACATTAGCATGCTTTAGTATATTGAACTGTGGTGAGGTCAAGCTATTTTATAATGAATAAAACTAAGCTGCTACATGTCACCCCACAAAACACTTTTTCCAATGGAAAACTGAACTTTATGCAACTTTTCATGGAAACATCAACATATATACACTTAAATATCATGAGAAACTGAACCTTGGAGGTGAGAATAAAATTGCCTTGAAAATTTATCTGAACAACTGAAAGCATGTCTTCTGAAAAGGAATAGAAGCTGTACACTGTGAAGCGTGAGAGGTCAGCTCAACTCAGAATGATATAGTAACTGATTTAATGGCTTTCCCTAAATTGACTCAACTTGAAGACACAAGAGTTCACACAACTCAAACGTCTTAGTTGAGTCAAAAGTTCTCTTAATGTTTTTAGTTCTGCTTCTCAGTGAGGCAGATAAAATGAGCTTATATTTTATACTCATCTTCCCTACCAGCCAGGACTCTTTCATCACACAGTCCTACGAGACATTTTTCCTCTTGACTACACACTTACGGATGGCTGTGGCATCGCTGGAGCTCAAACTCACAACCTCCTGTTGGGGTGATAGCTCAGTCCACTGCACCACTCAGGAACACATGAAGCAGCTCAGATTTTGTGTCTACAAATGTTGAATACACTGGAGAAAATATCTGCTGTTTTGACTTTGGCATCATCTCATGTGGTGCAACTGTCTAATAATTCATCCCAACATCAGGAGGTTGTGAGTTTGAATCCCAGCAATGCCACAGCTGTCCATATCCAGAAGCGCAAGAGGAGAATATGCCAGATGGGACTGTGTGATAGAAGGAGCGCCAGCTAGTGGAGAAATTGAGTAAAAAAAGTAAATTCAGTTTAGTTTATCTAACCGAGATGCAGAGCTAGAAACAGTAGCTGGGAGAATTTTAGACTCAACTAAGAAGTTTGAGTTGTGTGAACTCTGGTGTCCTCAAGTTGAGTCAACTCAAGAAAAGCCATGTAATCAGTTACTATAATTATATTAAGTTGAACTGACCTGTCAATTTTTAGTGTAATCATAATAAGCCTTCTAAGATGAGTTCACCATTTAAAAGTCATGTTTTTGAGTGCAAGGAGTGTTTACATACATGTAACTACATAAATGTAATTCTCTGCATTATCCTGTATACAGAATTCAAAACAATGGCACTTTAACTGAAGCTAATTTTAATGTTAAAGGCCTTCATTTCCTAAAAGGGGAACATGTTGCTTTGAGCTCAGCAGAGCTAGCATTGCTTTCAGGACTAAGAGACAATGAACGCTATCCCAAGTTGCCTTAGGAAAGCATGTTCCACAGACAGAATCTGTCAGTTCCATTTTTAATTGTGTTTTTTTTTTTTTCCTAAATTGCTCCAACACCCCTCCCTAACTCTCTTTGCATAAATTTGACTGTCCTCCTCCTCGTAGGAATAAATTAAAGCCACGTTGGCTTGCCTTATGATCTCTGTCACAAGCTTTCACATGAAAAATAGCTTTATTCAGGAATGACTTTTACCCAATTAATGTCAAGGGTTTTACTTCATTAGTTTTACTTTCCAAACTCAAAAACGCTTTTTTCTTTGGCCTAGATTTCCCCCCCAACCCCACGGTGACACTGACAGTGATCTAATTCTGGTGTCAGGGAACCCCATTCGTCACCCAGCACTGTCTTCCGTAATCCGCTGGAAACTGGCTGGGACATAGATTAAGTGTATGTTATGTCACAACAGCAGCATCTCTGGGCTTGAAGATGAATGGAGTGTCCTGGTGATTTTATAAAATTACAGTTTTATCAGCTTTACGGCAGTCAGAGGGATCATTGCATTGTATCTTCACACATAGCCTTCCTGTACTTGCTGACCTCAGGAAACAGTTGGTTTTCTTTTCTGTTTTGATTTGTATTACATTTCCAAAGCTTTTGGATGGCTTTTCACCGACATCTCAGCCTCTGCAGATTGTACAGTATCATACACCCTCAAAAATCCTCCAAGGCTTTAAACCAGTTTGGGGATTTTTGGGGACTTGCAGGAGAATCTCATTACTGTACCAGGTAGAAACTTCTTATAGAACTTCTGTGAAAAATCTTTCAATTCGATCTTATTTAGACTCTATATACTCTCAGAAATAAAGGTACTAAACAGTCACTGGGTCAGTGCCCCTCTTGTCACTGTGGTGGAACCCTCAAGGGTCCATCTCAGTATCTTTGGTCAGGGAACATAACTGAACCATAATCCACTGAAATGATATTCTCTAAGCTGTACTGACTCCACACACCCCGTCTCGTCTCTAAGGCTCCCGAGTGGTGCAACCGTCTAAGCGTTGGCCCTATCATCAGGAGATCGCGAGTTCGATCCCTGGTGATGCTACAGCCATCCGTAGCCAGGAGTCCGAGAGAGCACAATTGGCCTCGCTCTCTCTGGGTGGGTGGGATGGCCCCTCCTTCTCCCCATCACTCAGCGCGATGCTAGTCAGCGCAGGCGTCTGTTAGCTGACGTAACAGATCTGGCGGTTGGCGCTTTCCTCCGAGCGCGTTCGGCTGTCCAGTGACGCTGCGTGAGCGGCAGTTCGAAAAGAAGCGGTGGTTGGCGTCACAGGTCTCGGAGGAAGCCTGTGTTAGCCTTCACCCTCCTAGCGTTGATAGCATCGTGTGATTGGGGGAGTCCTAACTAGTGGGCAGAATTGGAGACGACTAAACTGGGGAAAAAAAAAAAATATGGTTATGAAAAGGTTATGAAAATGGCTAAACGTGCGTGGAAACCATGGCAATTAATGAGTTGGAGTGTTTTAGCCACACTCTGATTTGAAAAGATTAAATCAAAGTAAACAAAATCATTCAGTGTCTTTCGAAATTGTTCAATGTAGAGAAACTTACTAGCCTAATTTCTCACAATGTCACAATGTCTACAACACAAATGTAGCCATTTCATGTACTATGCAAGACGACCAGTGAACTTAAATATGTCTTTGAGATTTTATGTGTAATGTTAATTATGGTAAAATAGAAGTAAATCTGGAAAAAAACTGTTTTCTATATTGAGTACCCACAAATACTGGCACCCTTGGTAATCATGTGCAGAATAAGCTGTGAAAAATATTCCTCATTACTTATTGTTTTGATCTTTCATTCAAAATATTAGCAAGAATCTAACCTTGTCGTGAAACTAAATGTTGTCATGAAAAAATATATATTTTTCTTAAATCTGTATGTGCCATTGTTATTGGCAGTCCTAGAAATTCTTAAGAGCAAAATCTAACTAAAGTATATGTCCATCATATTTTATGTTTTTAAGTTCACCTGAGCAATTAGGAACACTTCAGTGATCAGCCATGTCTTCTTGATTTACTGGGGAATGTATATGAGATGAAACACAGAGCAAATTTCCTGAGTCATCCATCACTGTGAGAAAGACCAGAGAAAACAGCAGTGATGTGTGAGAAAAGGTTGTTGAGCTGCGCAAATCAGGAAATGACTTCAAGATTCTACTATCAGAGCAATAATTTAGAAGTTAAGAACTACTGGAGATGTTAAGAATCTGCTGGAAAGTGGATGCATGTCTATACTGACCCCACACACCGTGAGGAGGATGGTTTGAGTGGACAAAGGATCTCCAAGGATCACAGATGGGGAATTGCAGACATTAGTCAGGTCTTGGGGTCAGAATGTCTCCCAAACTACAATCAAACACCACCTATATAACCAGGGGTTCGTTGAGAGGGTTGCCAGAAAAAGGGCCTCGGCTGTCAAAGACCAACAAACTCCAGCGCCAACAGTTTGCCTGTTGTTCCTGGAGCTTTCAGTGGGACTATATTTGATGGTCAGATGGGACCAAAACAGAGGTTTTTGGCAACAAACACCAAAGGTGAGTTTGGCGTGGACACAAAGACAGCCTTGCAGAAACGTACCTCATCTCCAGTGTGAAGCATGGTGGTGGATCTGTGATGTTGTGAGGCTGTTTTTCTTCCAACGACCCTGGACAATTTATTTGGATACCTGGTATCATGGACTCCATCAAGAACAGCAGATATTAAATCAAAACCTCACTGCCTCAGCCAGGAAGCTTAAACTGGGTCACAGTTTGGACCTTTCAGCAGGACAGTGACCTTAAAATCCACACAAAAGG